CCCCAAAACCCCAAAACCCCAAAACCCCAAAACCCCAAATTTGATAGTTAAGATTGAAATTTATAAGAAACATGGAAGGTAAGCAACCTTATCCGTACTTTTATTACCGAACATTATATTTTGATCATAATTGAAATAAAATTATTTAGCTGTCTTTGCAGTATCGATTCAGATCGTATCAAGTGGGCTTACTGCCCTCGGATATGCATTACAAAAGCAAGCTCATACATATGCAGCTAAAAATTCGGTGAAATCAATTAAGCTCATCAGATTTTGGGTAGGACTTGTTATTATGCTTGGAGGAACCCCATTGAACATTTGTAAGCTATTTTTGAATTTCAAAGCTAATATTTATAGGGGCTTTAACAATGGCAGACCAAACTCTTCTAAGCGCACTCGCTCCTTTTTCAATCATCTTCACCCTTGTCCTCGGAAGATTCATGCTAAAAGAGGAGATCTTACTAAAGCATTACATCTCATGCTTCTTCATGAGCGTTGGCTCAATCCTCGCCTTAATATTCGCTTCAAAGCACTCAGAGACACTAAAAATACAAGAAATCCAGTCCAGAATTCTCAGTACCATCTCCATAATAACCACTACTACCAACATAATCCTTCTCACCCTCCTTCTTCTCCTCTCCTTCAAGATAATCAGAGACATAAAGGTTGCTTCCAAGTCCTTCACTGACACCCAGATGAACCAATGTCTCTTAAAGGACAACTACCTCCAATCCATCCAAAGAAGTGACTTCACTAGAGATTCCGAAACTTTAAGAGTCACAGTAGAGATTTCAGAATTTCAGGAAGAAACTCAAGGGCAATTCTTCTGAAATCCTCATTGGCTCAAGCTAGCTGTGTTTGCATTCCCGTGGTTTTCCGGATTCATGTCAGGAATGACCTCTCTGTTCGCAAAATGAACGATTATGACTTTTAGTCATTTGAAAGACAATAGTAGCTCTGCTTTGACCTTTATCATCCCCATACTGCTATTAGTGACTGCTATCGGTGAGATTGTTAGTCTAAACCTTGGCTTCAAGTATTTCGATACTGCCATTGTTGTTCCAATATTCAAGGCCTCAATTGTCTTTCATAATACAATGTGAGGTGGTCTCTTACTTCAAGAATTCTTCAATTACAATAATCTTAACATTATGATGTACATTGTTGGAATCACCATCTGTATAATCGGCATCCTCATAATGCTCCTAGGAAAAGACAGCTCAAAGCCCCTTCAGAAGAAACTGAAGATTGCCGGCCAAGAAGTTAACCAGACTTTACTCGAAGAAGAATAAAAGTTATTTTAAGTACAGATTTAGGAATTTGTGGAGAGTTTGTTGCACTTTAAGATGATTAAGATGAGATTGGGGTTTAGAGGTTTGGAGCTAGGGGTTTGGGGGTTGGGGGGTTGGGGATTTGGAGTGGAGGAAGGGGTTGAGAGGGGTTTAGGGATAGTGGAGAAGGGGATTCTGGTTTGGAGGGTGTGACGGAGTTGAGTCATATTTTTGAGGTAGGTTTCAGAAGTAGAAAGATTATTTTAGGAAATTGGGTATTAATGTTTTCAATCTGATAAAAACGAGTGGGGTTTTGGGGTTTTGGGGTTTTGGGGTTTTGGGG